CTGCCCCGCCATGGCTGCTCGCTCTGCCTGCTCCGCCATGGCTGCTCGCTCTGCCTGCTCCGCCATGGCTTCCCGCTCCGCCTGTTCCGCCATGGCTGCCCGCTCCGCCTGTTCCGCCATGGCTGCCCGATCTGCCTGCTCCGCCATGGCTGCCCGATCTGCCTGTTCCGCCATGGCTGCCCGATCTGCCTGCTCCGCCAGGGCTCCCCGCTCTGCCTGTTCCTCTTCACGGGCCTGGCCCTCCGTCCCTCCCCCAGTTCCGCCTCCACTCCACCACCCTCCTGGACTTTTTAGGTTTTGTTTGGGCGTCTGGAGCCGCCCTTGGAGGGGGGGATATGTAATGTGGGGTTTGGTGTTTGGGTTTCATGTTCATGTTTTCCATGTCTTTTATTTTGGAGTTTAGTCACGGTCCCTGTTTGTGTCATGCTTCCCTTGCCCTCATGTATTCATGTCATTGGTTCCTCTGTTCATTGTGTCATGTTCTGATTGGTTGTCTAGGTCATGTGTCTTGTTTCCCATTGGTTTGTTCTTGTCATGTGACCCTCATTGTCTGCTATAAGTAGCCCTCATGTTGCCATTGTCTTTTGTCGTGTATTGAAGTTGTAACCCGCTGTCGGTGAGTCTAGTCTGTTCATGCCTCGTCAAGTCAAGTCTGTGTTTCTAGTCCTCATTTATTGTTTGGATGTTTGGATCACGTCTGTGAATAAACTGCACATGGGTTCTTCACTACGCTCACCTTCAGTGGACTGATTCGTTACAGTCAGATGTTCATAGAAACATTTTTCAAGTAGTGATATGATTATTAAACAGCTGGATCTGTTGTGAAGACTATAAGCCTATGAACAGCAGAAAGCGCAGAGCATATAAATTGATATGACAGATGGCTATGGCTGATAAAAGAAGAATATCTGCTTGAGAGAACACTAAAAACTTCAATGTGTTTTATTTTTCTTAATGAGCACTTCAAACCAGAGTACTGAAAAACTGTCAAAGCTAACAGGTGGAGAGACAGTGGGATTGTGATGTTGTGATAAAAATATACAGCATTTACAACCTACTGTGCATATTTAAATGAAAAAGATGTGCTGAGATGATGTGCGCTCAGTGATTTGTGTAGGTTGATGCAGAAGGGTCTTAATAATTCTTATATATACATTCCATGCATTAATGATAAAAGCCAGTCATGGACACACGTTGGATAAAAACAAAAAAGCAACTACAACTATATTTCTGGTTTTCTTTCAGAAAGGTTGGAAGAAAGTCATGAGGCTGAGGCAAACTATTCCCAGATATGAAAGATATGCACAATCACACGCTGAGATTTCTTCTTAGCTTCTGACAAGAGAGATGAATGAAGCAAGAATACCCAATGGTATAAAGCAAACAAAATCCAGTTCAGAGCTCTCCAAGCTAGAATGGGGAAGCATGAGTGCTTATACATTACTTAGTGATGTTTATATTGAGTTAAATATGATGAAATAAGAAATCTCATACTGTACCATGACAACCCATTCTAGCTTTCATTTCAGTGAAAAAGACTACAGTTATTGTGAGCCGTGTTAAAAACAGTTTAAATGCGACTTACTGTGGTTGTGTGCAGTTGTGAAAGTTACACATTCTTCGAATAGGTTTGGGTTTCTTGTTGATGTCACAGTAGCTTCTGTGCACCATTTTGTTGTCACCTTTCTTACGACACCCATATTTGGTGTATTGGAATCCTAAAGATTAAATAAAATGAAAGAACCAAAAGAACCATGATGCGTAATGTTACCAGACTGGGCTACCAGAACTAAATCCACCTCAATAAACCCAATAGACCCTGATGTTTTTTCTTAGGTGTCACAATTTTTAAAGTAAAAATGAATAAACTAATGATTAAAAATCATTTACAATGAATTGAATATAAATTCATAGGTTATATCAAAATTGTGACGTATACATTAATATTGATTTGAATTATTATATACAACTGGATACAATTGATTGCATTTATTGTTGCAAATTGTAAACTATATTATTGCCCAATAATAATCTGCTAAATGTGACTATAAGGCATGAATATTTTAAGATATTACAAATTTTTACATCATGATTTTCTGTAAAGCTGCTTTGAAACATTGTGTACTGTGAAAAGTGCTATTCAAATAAATGTACATATTTGAGTAACCTAGAAGAGCTAATAGATTGTTAGAGTTGAACGTTACCTCCAGCACAAGGTCTTGAACACTGGGACCAGCTCTTGAGTGCCCACTCATATGTGTCCTCCTGAATGACATTATTGTTGTTAAGGGGCACTGAATCTTCGTGGACGATGTATTTGTACATTAGTGTGGACCTCGTCTCGTTGTCTTTAGGTATAATCTAATGGAGATGAAAAACAATAGGACAAAATTTTCAGAAATAACAAAGTGATATTTACAGGCATTTGATTATGTACGCAGGGATTTAGCATGTGTTCATGCACATGTAAGAGTATGCAGATTTATGTGTTGCCCTCTGTGTGAGATGACTAATTTTGCATTAGTTTGTTACTGCTGTTGTAACTTGCAATTTAATGCGTACTTCAAATATTCATATTCTAATAGTCATTCGCATTTTCCTAATACTGCAACCTGATATAAAATCAATATGCAAGTCAGAGATTAGGATTCAGAAGCCAGAACATGCAATTTAAAATTTATTCAAAGCAATTTTTGCATTTTGTGATGGTGTGAAAAAGGTGGTGAACCCATTAAAATGATAAAATTCCTGCATTCATTTTGCCTAAATTTGAGGTAACTAGTAAGTAGCTAATGAAAAGCACTGGTCAGAAACAAATTTGTGTGTGTGTAAAGGTCACAACTTCATTATTAAAAACACTGGCCTGAATAAATCCACTGATAATTTCCAAATGGAAGACATTCAATATTGTTTTTGTATTCATGAATTCACCTTGTGGGGAACAGTGAACACAAGTGTAAATGGGAGGATATCATGGGAAAAATCATAGCATTCAAATCAAATAATTTTTAGCAGAACCAAATGCTACATTCAAAGAATGACATCTGGTGGTAGAAATATCCGTTTTTTTCAGCCTGAGAACCCATATGGCTTGTGGTCATTAAAGAATTGATTAATTGTGGACTATAGTAATACATTGTACAGGAAAATGCCAATGTGTCTATCCATGAGTTTATGCATTATAGAAAGTAGGTCATACCACACAAAAAGATCATAAACAAGGAAATATTCAAGTGGAATTGCAAAGCTGAAGTAGAAGAACTGTTGTGCTTTACCAAGTCAAAGCCTTCAACTTAATCTAACTGAATTGTTGTGGCATTTCATGCGAGACAGCTACAGTAAATTATAAGATTGGCTTGAAGCAACACTGTGAAGAGAAATGGACCAACATAACATTCGATTTCTAAATCCTAAAAAGTACATAGGTTTTTTTTTTTATTTTTTCACGAAAATCATTAACACATTTCTGCATTGCTATGTAAAATTACTACCAATCAAATATTATTGTCCATTCATCTATCAAATTCAGACCAGTGGACATATCACATTGCCATTTAAAGTTTATCACAGACTTAGGACCTCTACAAAAGATGTCATGATTAAGCTTGGCGTGGCGGCGGCGGCAGCAACAATACTACAGCGAGAATAAAAGTTACGCCTTCTTTCTTTGCGTGAACATTTGGGCGGCGTTATGCAAATCTTACCACACAGTGACGTAGACATGTGGGGGCGTGTTTAAAACGAGGCGTTTTAGGAGGGTGTGGACAAGTCTAAACTTTTATAAAGAATATCTCTTTGGATTTGAGACTTTAGTCTTTGCAACTTTACAGATCTTCTTTATGCACCAAGAGCTTGTAACACTCCAAAGAGAAAGGAAAAATTGAAATCGCATCATATGACCCCTTTAAGTAAGTAGAAGAATTTGCATTTACTGTACGCATTTGGCTTTTATCCAAAGTGATGTATATTGCATTTAATGTATACATTTTATCAGTTTAGCATTCCCTGGCAGTCGAACCCTTGACCTTGGCATTACTTGTGCCATGTTGAAGTGTCTCAGCTACAGGAATGATGACAGATTACATGATATTAATTCAGTACTGGGTAAAAGGCAAGTTTGACTGTGCAACATGAACTGTCACGTATGACAGATATACATCTAATCTCTACACCTAAGCAAGCTTATGCACTAATACTGGAAAATAAAGAAAGAAGAACATTCACATCAACACATAAATATTTATGATGCATATCCTTTCGGCAATCTAGTATAAACATCTCCAATATAAACATATAAACATATACTGTATCATCAACTGCTGTGTTCCTATTGATTCCTCAAAAGCCAGGCCTCACATTGCAGAGCTGCAACCCAAAATTTCAGACAATTTTAATGACAAGGTGGGTCCAAGTTATCTAGGACTGGCAGATTTTTTTCTATGACAATAGGATCTTTTGCAATCCTTGAAATTGGTCTCAAACACCAACATAAATTGTGGCAATTAAGAAAACATCTGTCAGGAACTGAAATGTAATGCAAATGTTCAATCTAATCCACATTATCCACTGCAACAGCTTAGATGAAGGTCAAATTATATAATAAAAAAATCCCTAAAGATAACTCCAGAAGGCTCACAAACTCACAGTACCTCTATCAACAGCAATATGAATATTAAATGAATATTCATAAGGTGAGCATATGGATGTACCATCTATGAAGTACACAAATTCAACAGAATTCATGCAAATTGGAGAAAAAGCATGCACTTAAACACTTCTTTCCATTCATTTCCAATGTAAATGTGGTTCAACTACAAAGGAATAATCCATACAGATACAATCAAGTATTCCCTCCTTTCACGAATGTATCATTCATATACAAAATGCCAGTGACCAAACAAACTCAGTGTCATCACATCCCACTGCAATATCAATGTTTTTCTCCTTGCGTTACTAACATTAGATATTCTCTCGTTTTAAAGTGAGTGTAAGAGCATCTCTTTTATTCTCTCTCCGCAAATATTTCTATCACACCACAATACCTCACACCTCTACTCCATCCCTATCCAGCAAGCACTCTCACCAGAAGCTTCTTTTCAAACCACGACTGAAAAACCCATTAAAAACCCAACGTCACTGATGTCACTTGCATTGTGTTTCAGCTGCCAGTGTATTTAGAACACATTCTTCTCTTGTAACCTTCCGCGTTCACACTGGGCTCTGATCTCCAGCTAAAGAATGAGTTCAGAGAGACGATGAAAAGCTTTAGCTTTGACTGACACATTTAAAGAAAGGTGATCTTCACTCATATTCCTTTAACTCAAGGACCTTCAGATCACACACACACAGCAGCTTCAACAGTGCCGCTTAAGTGGGTGGTGGTGAATAATTCACTCAATAGAAAGTTAAATACTGGGGCATGTCTCAAGCAAAAATGTATTAAAGGTCTCTTCTAACGTCTCTGTTTCTGCTACAAGCAATGAATTTGATCCAGTCTTCACAGAACCGAGTGCATTTACATGCACATTCTTAAATCGATTATGCTTAATAATCCAACAACATGTGTGGTCATGTAAAAACATTAAAATGTTTTCCTTTATCACTGCAAGGTCCTAAACAGCTTAAGCATAAACGCATCAACTTAGCTAGATTTTTGCCCAATTAGCCCAATTTTGCCCTGGCATTTACAGCTTAACCTGTGTTCCCTTGCCACGGGGACTGGTGCAGCCACATTAGTTGCACATAAAATTTCAAGTGTAGTTTGATGCTAATTGTACCTCTAATAATATTTTAAGATGTACTCTTGTAAGCATTATAGATGGTTTGTGTTTCTGGTGTAGAACCAAACTTTATTTATATTAATTTAATGTTGTTGATCAGCGGACGATGTTAAATCCAGATATGAGATACATATCTGAGGAAAAATGCATTGTTGGTCAGCGCCACCTAGCATGCAGGTGTGAATTAGCAGAAGGCGATCAATCATTTCGCAGTCGATGTGAAAGCACCATTCGTTGCTGATTCACCTCGCTTTTTTCGACCAACCATGCATTTCTCTTCATGTATGTATTCTCGTATACAGGTGCATCTCAATAAATTAGAATGTCATGGAAAAGTTCATCACAATTAAAAGAACCAAAGACTTAAACTACTTCAGTCTGTGTGCATTGAATTTATTTAATACACGAGTTTCACAATTTGAGTTGAATTACTGAAATAAATGAACTTTTCCATGACATTCTAATTTATTGAGATGCACCTGTAAGACTTTAACATTGTCCGCTTAATATTTTTGCTCAAAAACCCACTTTAAACCATCATCAAGTTCCGATTGTGATCTAAAGTGGATTTTGATTCTATAATAGGCAGACATGCAATCTTTGTATGTTTTATAATGGATTGAACGCTACACCTTGTGTGCATGTAAACAATATGACTGAAAATCATGTCATCTTAAAGGGTGAATTACAATAGTGACAAAAAGTCAGTGAGTGTTGATGATTTCCAGCGCCAAATGTAGGTGTGCCCAGCGATGCAAAAAGTGTAACTTTATGCAAACTAGCACATTCAGAGTGAGTTTCAGCAGCAAGAAATCCAATTATGATCAGATTTTCAAAAGCTGCATGGCCACCAATGATTTTAAGGCATCAGAAACGCCAACTAGCATCCAATAGACCCTTTTCACAAGACCGTGATGACGCGTTTCAATGGTCATCAGCATCGTAAATCCTCCAAATTTTTTGCTATTTGTTTTTTTAATGTATGTACATTTATAACACTATAATTTATATTATATTACCTTTTCATCAAATTACAAAAAACGAATTAACGCTAATGCAAGGGTGTTTCTAATAAGAGTGTCTATTTAGATAGAGTTATAGAGTTGCTATTTGAGCAAATGGGAATGCAAAAAATATATTTGTGGTAGTCTCCCATTCACTGCTATAGAAGTTTACCTAACTATGACTACTTCTGCTGCTGAGAAACCAGGAAATGTGAAAAAGGTCCATAAGACTCCATTAAAGTCACTGTAAGTGTGAATGGGTCATTAGTGTGTCTTGTGTGGTTCTCTGATATAGTTGATTCTAAATGGTCAATTGCAGCAATCTTATAATTTTTGTATAGCAACTGCTAAACGGACCCATGTCCCCCAACAACCTCCTAAACTGTGCTAGTAAATCCCTTACATACAGTGGTCCTATGAGGAACAACATTATTATATTCATGAACACCTCTTACAGATGTCAAAGACTGCAAATATCAGCTTTACACTTCTGTCAGAAATGTCCAAGAGGGAAAAGAAGGGTGCTGCTTTGAGTCTGAATTTTCTGATGAACATGGGGGAAAAAAACGACAGACATCAGCTGTGACTTTTGTGTACGGTATATGGTGAGGCATGATGTGCAACACCATACAGTATACTGTACTGTGTGCGGGGGAGGTGTTGGGCTCTCTGCATGCATCACACACAAACACACACACTCATAAGATTTCGCACTCTGCAGTGTTGTATATATATATTTTTTGCTTAATTTTTACATTTGCCATGGCAAGTCATGATTACTGAGCCTTGCATTTTCATTAACATACTTATTCAAATGATGGACTGTTCGGCATAATCCATAATTATTCCATAATTCCTTCTTACCAATCAAAGAATGAAGACTGAAAGTTTTAATACCAAAAAGAGAATGAAAAGCATGTCGGCCCTTTGTCATTGAAGATTTATGCGGAGAGAGGCATTCACTCTTTGCACACATGCAACTATAGAGAAAATTAAATTACACAAAGGTTGCTATGGCCAACCAAACAATTTCCATTCCACTTAGTTCTGAACTCAATTAAGGTAATCAGAGGGAATATATATGTTGCTGCGCAACTGGCCTTTGACAAAGGGGTAAATCTATACTAAATTTGAATCATGTTGCACCCTCTTAAAAGCATGAATAAAGAATGTGAACGGAGGGAAGGTGCATCTATTTTTTCAAGGATATCTATAAATACAACATCTATTTATATTAATAATATATTATTTAATAATATAATATTTTCATGTTATGGCCAATAACAATAAATGGCTTATAATAAAATAGCATTATTTAAAATTTAATTGTTAGATGAATTTGTCTAAATAGATAATATAAACTCTAAAAACTAAAATCAATCATTTTCAATGTAATTAAAAGTACATTTAGGCATCACAACATTATAATGTACAGCATTAAAATTAACATTCATTTTGTGATTTGCAAAATATGACTTATCAGTTATTAAATCACTAGTGTTAATAATTTAAATAAATAATTAAATATTAACTTGAAGTTAACATCAGATGACGGCAAAGGTATTTCAAATGGTAAAACAGGGGAAGTGAGATTCAACATTAAATATCCATTATCGGCTTATACTAAATATAAGTAAATAAAAACACAAATATTGGCCAATAATCAACATGGTGCCTATATATCAAGAATGGCAAATACTTAAAGGGGTCATATGATGCTGCTAAAAAGAACATTATTTTGTGTATTTGGTGTAATGAAATGTGTTTATGCGGTTTAAAGTAAAAAAAAAACATTATTTCCCACATACTAGGGGTGTTACGGTACACGTATTCGTACCGAACCGTTTCGGTACGGGTCTTTCGGTTCGTTACACATGTGAACCGAACGAATTGAAGGGTTCTGGAACAGTGTTGTATATACAACTTAACCACTGATTTCTAGTCGTGTCCATTTTTGGAAGACCAAACAAAGTAGTTTCGCTTTCACAACAAAAAACACAGCGGCCTAGCGTGAGGGGAAGCCCCGGCTTAGCGTGCGCTGAGGCCGGGATAGAGTGAGCTGAGGCCGGGCTAGAGTGAGCTGAGGCGGCGTGGTCGAGAACGGCGCGCCCGGCGGATTCGACAAATGAGCGGCAACCACATGTGACGGACCCTGGCTGGATTCCGCTTCGTCCACGGTGAAAGTTGATGTATTCCCTCAGCGACCAGCACAGATCAGCTCTAGGCATGATGAAGCGGATATCGTCCTCTTTTGGAAGACCAAACAAAGTAGTTTCGCTTTCACAACGAAGCACACAGCGTCTTCACGACATGGCTGCAGCGTCAACAATACTACAGCGAGAATAAAAGTTACGCCTTCTTTCTTTGCGTGAACATTTGGGCGGCGTTATGCAAATCTTCCCACATAGTGAGGTAGATATGTGGGGGCGTGTTAGAACGAGCCGTTTTAGGTAGGTGTGGCTGACTCTGAACTTTTATAAAGAATATCTCTTTGGATTTGAGACTTTAGTCTTTGCAACTGCAACAGATCTTCTTTATGCACCAAGAGCTTGTAACACTCCAAAGAGAAAGGAAAAATTGAAATCGCATCATATGACCCCTTTAAATATATCACATTATCACATATCTCATTTTTAAGGCTACAATTAGATTAGAGAAAGTTTTATTTACCAAAACAACAATTGCATCATGTAGTGGACCATCAGTGTGAAGAGTCTCGACATCGTCCTCAATTAGGTAGTCCCACTCCACTCCCATCTCGATGAAGCGCCGAGATCTCGCATCTTCTCCCTTGCCGTTGAGAATGTAATGCCCTGTTCCCTGGTTCTTGATAGCTGCAATCAGTGATTAATTACAACTCTTCAACAGTTCAGGAATAAGAAGTTAACAGAATGATCTGAATCACCCTGTTCAATTAAGTCATAATTTCAGCCATTGAATCAGATGTTTAACTGTCAAAACAGTGAGCATTTTATTGTGCCGTTTCAATGTCTAAAAGCTTTATTGAATTATTCAGAAACATGAAGTTAGCATTATATGCTGTTGAACAATATGAGGACATATTGACACAAATAAGTAGTGACAGTCTGGCTCAGAGCATGAGAGAAATTAAGTGGTCATTCGCTTGAATGTAAATGGTGATTACAAGGAGAGCTGCGCAGACATCAAGACAATCACCATTGCTACAAGTCATCAAATGTCACTTGGAATGTGAACAATTAGATTAGGTTTCCAGAACATTAATTATGGAGTATATTGTCTGGAATTTTTTAAATAATAATGAACAAAGTGTTAGGCAGTATAGTGCAAAAAGTTTGATGCATGAAATCAAAGTTGACCTTTGATTTCCTACACGCTTAGCGTGATGAGTTTGTGTTTATTTTTGCCAACATATCTACAAAATCTAAAGGATAATTCACCCAAGAATGAAAATTTGAAGAAAAAAAAAAGCTTAATAAAAGTAAAAAAAAAGAAAAAAAGTGCCATATTAAATGCTTATGATGGAACTCACATGTAACATACACTATCAAAATCACTAAATTACCATGCAAATAAATGCTTCTCAATAATAAAACTAAAATGTCAAAAAAAAAAAAAAAAACCTACTGTATATATGTTACCATATTAATTGCTATAGTGTTTAGACCTGCAAAGAATCTAATTATTGCAATCAGTTAAGTTAAATATATAGATAACCGCAATATGTATACACAAGTTATTTAACACCCCCTATATTATTGAAATAGAATTACCTTTGGAAGACCTCTTGAAAGGTTAACTTGGGCAGTAAAGTCAGACTGTGAACATCTTATCTAACTAATTAAAATAAGGTTAGGTTTAATTAAAAGTTTAACAACCGATGTATTATTCAAACTCCTACATTCACAGAGAAGCATGTATAAGAAGGTGAATATTGTTGGAATAAAACCATCTGGTTCAATTATGTGCATTACAAAGTGATAATTTCTGTCTGTATGGACTACTCAAATTGAATAGAATAAAGAAAATGGGCCAAAAAGTTTAATGTTTAGTTCTACAACATCGACTCATCAAAGCATGCTGTGGGTAGTTGTAGTACAACATGTTAGCTTAACTTCTGCATTAAAACCACAAAATGGTTTCATGTTTGAGCTACTTTATGCTGTGGAACAAAACGTGAAACATGATTTTACTCCTAAATCTGCTATTCTAAAAACCCACTGTAAATTCCAAAATGAGCCCACGGCTTGAAAACACCCATTCGCTTTGAGGTTTGAGGACTGTGGTTCACAATGCCACAGACAAATTGTGGTAGACCGCGATTGTCTCTAAAATCTGTGAGTCTAATTCAGTCTAATGCACTTCCAGGCAAATGCACAAGCTCTTTTATGTGAATACATTGATGCGATGGTATGTATTGGGGTGATATGGATCCATCGAGCATAGTTACCCAGAACAGGCACAGAATACATGAGCATGCATTTGGTCTTCTTGCTGCGAAGCTTGAGATACATGAGGACAGATATCACTTACCAAGAAATTGAGGAGAAGCCTCATGTTCTTGTATGATCACATGTCTAGCCCCAGGAGGAATGAGAAACATCTTTAGGTAACCTTTGCAATGATGAAAAAAGGCAAAGGGAGAGATAGCAGAAGCGATTAGTTAGCTAAGAAGTTCTACTACGGTTTGATCTTTGCAGAGGTGGGCATCACTAGAAGGCATTTCTACAGTAGTACATTACTAAAGCTTTCAGATTTGAACAGTTGGAATACTGCAACTGTTCATAAAGCAGGGTCATGACAAGCCTATGGGACAAACCACAAAACATGACAGAAGGTTCCTCATCCATTCATTTCATATATTCACACCCATGCGAATAGATGACATATCCTTCAGAAGATCAAATAACAATGTCAGGCGAAAAGTGAAGACCATGAATGATTGTTATGTAAGGCTAATTGAGAAGGATGCTGAATGGCAAGGCCTTGAGTCAGTTTGCAACACATCACACAAGAACACAAAAACACAACTGTTGCCTTCTCTACCGATGCCCATTCCTCTACAAAGTGTGATACCACTCACCCATCACATCTCTAGAATCCTCGGTTTCATTCAGATACACATTGCGAGCTCCTTTCGGCAGCAAGAAGGCTCCTCTTGTTTTCCCTTTAGGATAAGAAGGGTTTATGTCATGTCATTTTGCCCAACACTCATTGTCATTGACATGTTAAATGCCTCAAAACCAAAGCTAGGCTTTGAACCAGTCTCTAGCAGCATGACGCCTGTCTGAGACACGCGTGTGATGTGAAATGATGGCCAGGAGTCTAATCATTACAATGGAGGATTGAGTCACTTAAGGTAACGTCTGCTGGGAGGTTTTATTATCGATTAATGTGGACAGGAAGACATCGACAGAGAATAAGCAGGAATAAAAAGGGGTTGAGGAAGGAGAAAGGGAGATTAAAGAAGATGGACAGAAATACTGTGGGATGGTGGTGGGGGAGGGACACTGTACAATATGTGTGTGTGAGGGAGAGAGAAAAAGAGAGCATATTTATTTACTAATCCTATGAGATTTATTTGCGTTCATGTTATTTCCATATTTGTTTCTATATTATATTACAATGAAAAGAGATATATGGACATTTTTGACGAAGCTCTTCAGGACCTTTATTTAAAGAGACAGATGAGCCAAAATGAAAATCATTTACTGTCATTCCAAACCTGTATGGAACCAAAAAGGAGACATTCTGAAGAATACTGGGGTCCAAACAACATCGGAGCCCACATACTGTCATTGTATGGCCAAAAAACAAAGAGACCTTTTTCAAAATATCTTTTTTTGTGTTCCACAGAAGAAACATATGCACACAGGTCTGGAATGACATGAGGGTGAGTAAATTGTTTACATTTTTAGATTAACTTTATTTTATTGTAAGAATTGTTTTCATTGGGCATTTAATCAAGCTGAGTTTGTACCACAAATCAATTTTATGCCAAACCTTTAAGGAAGATTCTGAGTTAAATCTAACTTAAGCTTATCTGTGGAATGCTGTCTATCACAAGAGAAAATCATTATAATCTGATAAATCTGTCCCTTATTTTGTAAAAACAAAGGAAAAACACTTGTACAGTAATGTACTTACATTCAAAATCTATAGTGTCCAGCATCACAAAAAATATTTAAAATCTAAAAAAAAAATTAAAATTAAAGTCTCAGAATAAATAATAGCATGAAACTGCTATCATAGAACTTTTTCTGTGCTTCAAAGGTTTGAACAAATTTCACATCTACACAAGAATATCAGTTTAAGGAAGAAACCGACCATAAAATGCAGTTTACATGGAACACATTTCACACAGGAATTTTGTTGATAATGCAGAATCAAATGTTTCCACCTCATGAGGATGATTTAAACAGATCAATTTTACTGAAACATTCAAGTGCTTCAAGAAAAGTATGACCTTCACATTTCTGCTTCTAAACTATTCAATACATTTGCCCCTTGGGCATCCATTGTAAGTGCATTACTGCAAATGAGTTTTTCTTTGAGTTTTCTAAACAAAGCCAGGGAATCAAAGTTATTTTCTGTTGTAATCAATAGCATTCTTCAAGTGAGGTCAACTGAGTTTTATTTAGATCAACTGCTGAATATTGCTTTAAAGCTACAAGCTACAGTCAGTGCAAAACACAGCAGTACTACAGCAGAGAAGTGTAGGATTAGGCAATATAAGATATTTGCAGGTTGTGTTTTCCAACACAGGGATTTCTTTTTGGGATCTCTTGCTTAACTTTTTTCCTGTTAAAAAAGTGATTGATTGAAAAACAAGGTAGAGTTACAGAAAGGTCAAAATGCTGATTTAGTTCATGCAAACAATGTGTTAAATGTAGTAATGATAATAAGAAAGTACAATGTAAGGAATTGTCATTCAAATTTGTGATATAAAGCATCACAAATTGTGTACAATCACCCATTATGACATACTGTATGACAAAATCAAGAAGTAAACATCATGCAATTTCTGGTTAGAGCCAGAATGAAACATTCATTCATTGTCACAGGTAAATATAACACGTGACACCATGCTAATTAAAGGAATTGCACATTATCTATAACACATGTGGAGTCACATCTGAAAAGCTGGACCTATATAATTATGTACATCAACTCAATTATTCCACATGCCATGTCTTTCAAATGCAACAAAACCAACAAAGACACACACATGAATCCATAATCTTAGACACAATTGTCCTGCCATCTGTGCGAGGGCTGTGCTTCATTATGTATTAGCATGAGTGTGCGTTAATGTTATTGTATAGGCCTGCATGCCAAAATAGCAGGTCATATGGACCTATTTTGAGGATCTGTTGTGATTGTATGTCTATGTAACAGTAAAATTAGGCAGCTCCACAAATAACTGCAATGAAACACTGTGCCAGAGCCATGTGACTAATGCCTGTTTATGAAAAAGATATATATTTAATCCTAAGATCATGATTTGCATATTTATGCTAAAATTATTTGATTCCTTCGTGGAATCATGTCTTTTTGGGTTCAGAGCAGGCACAGCTCTGAAGAACTGCATATTGTATAGTCCCCCACATTTCGTTGAAAACAGCTAATGTATATGCTGGGCTTGACTGCTCTTCCAGGGCCATTATAAAGATGTCAGCCCTATGCCCTTTGTGCATTTGGGTTCCTCTCTAAACATGAGTATAATACATTAAGTTAAATGAATAGGATTAATAGAGGGAAATTATGTCCTTTAATACATTTTCCATTTGCTTCTATTCTTACTGTATGTGCTATTAAAACAATGTATCATCAGCTAATTTGAAAAAGGACAAAATAGCAAGAGGATTCATGGGATATAAAAAAAGCAATCTAACCATAAAAGCCACCAGTGGCCCAAAACACTTATTTTGAACAAATGGGGGAGTGTTTCATATCCTCATGAACTCCCTAGTGACTGATCAGGCCACTACACAATCGTTGCTTTAAGACTAGGCATCTTTATCAACATACATGCAGGTTGGTAGAACAAGCAAGAACATGTTATGATATGCATTCTGACAATATTGTGACAGGTTTTGTGCAGTTTCATGCAGGTATAAAGAACCAGTTTCAGTAGTACTATAATCGTGCTGCAGGGATGGGCAGAGAAGCCATTATTAGTAAGATTTTTTAAATCTGTAAGAAAAAAAAAAAGTCTGAAGCTCACCAAGCCTGCGTTTATTTTATTATTATTTTTTTTTTTTTTTAACGACAGGACAGTATGTTGACAGGAAGTGAAGTGGGAGAGAGACGGGGGACGGGATTGGGAAATGTCCACGAGCCAGGATTTGAACTCAGGACACCCGAAGCGTTACGGCGCTGTATGTAGGCGTGCTGCCCACAAGGCTATCAGCGCTGACAAAATAACTGCATTCTATCTGAATATATTTTAAAATACAGTTTTTTTTCTGTTATGGCAAAGCTGAATTTTCAGTCACATGATCCTTCAAAAATAATTCTAATATGCTGATTTGGTTCTCAGGAAACATTTCTTATTATTATCAATGTTAAAAAAGCAGTTTTGCTGCATAATATAATTGTGGAAACCACAATCTTTTTTTTTCAGGATTCTTTGATGAATAGAAAGTATAAAAGAACAGCATTTATTTCAAATATAAATATTTTGTTACGTTACATCGCATGGGGGTCCTGATCACCCTGTCACGGTTTATTCTGCGATAACAACCAGCTGGATGTGTATTATATCACTTTTTAAATAAATCAATATGCAACACAAAATATTCATTGGAGTTGAAATATTTCATTAGTTCTTTAAACGCAAAGCTTCCGCAAAGAAAAACAGTTCCTAACAAACGGCTTTGCAACTACATGAAGTACAGTCGTATAACTCATTACACAGCTTCTGTTATATTTGCGAATGTTATTTGAGAAGAAAGCATTTTAAAATCTTACCTGTTAATTATCTTAAATCAATTAAAATATACACAACAATCATTCTGGCAACAAGACGAACACTAACAATATTAACGGAGATCTTCTATTAATACTGAACTCCTCTGGTTTAATTTTAAATTTTAAAACAGTAAATACAGTCGATAATTGGGGTGCAAGATGAGTTGCATATAAGTTGCATATAAGACTAAGTTGCAGTTGAATGAAACGAGAGAGCGAGAGCGCAGTGGTGTGATATGAGAGATGTGAAAGAAGCACCAGCCTCAAATACACAGATGAGCAGTGTTATTCAGCATTGCTAATGACGATGGTTGTTATCGGGCAATAACACACCTTGGAATGTCGTGACTGACCAATCAGAATCGATTCTTCCAGAGAGCCATGTGTTAAATGTCTTTACTGTCACTTTTGCTCAATTTACTACATCCTTACTGAATAAATGTATTCCTTTTTAAAAAAATTAAAAATAATGCAAATGTGGACGGGCCTTAAACCATAAGTGCTTAAAAACTAAATGATAAGCTCATTTTTAAATACGTATTGATTCCATTTAAAATCACATATAGCAAAAATGTCTTGCTTAATTCATAAGATTCATTATTCTTTTTATTACAATATTTACGTCATCAAAGTGAGAATCAAAGAACAAGTGTACCTGCAAGTTTTATTTGGTCATCTGAATGCATGATCAAATTATGATTCTACAGGCCCTGCAGACAAGGAAATTTCCTTGTGCTTTAATTCTTGGATTCTTGGAATTATTGGTGCTTTAATTGAATACCTGTTAACCGGCCACAGTGACAGTATGCCAAAACATCCTGAAATTATAATCCTATAATTAAAAATGTCTTTAAGAATGCTATCAAAGTGGGGGAATCTATTTATAGGCTAAATGAGGTCTGGTGCAAACCTCAAGCTCCCGGCTACACAACTAGCAAATACCATTAAAAAATAAACTGATGGTTGCTTAAGGAAACTAATTAGATGACTACCTTGCTTTTATCCCTGACTGCTGTTGCCTGAATAATAATGACACCTCATTATTATTGGCTGAATAATAATGACATCTATTGTGATTCCCTAGGTACAAAATGTCATTTTATTACGTTGTTCACCTCATATTGAATTCACTGCCAATGGTACTTGGCTTTATGTCATTGTCACAAAGCGTCAATGACAGAGATCGGCTGATCTGCACTTAGCGTGATAGGGTGAATGCCTGAATAATGGAAAACAGAACATATGATAGGAGTGAGACTTGCAACAAAACCTGGATCCTCTCCTGCATGTCTTTGGAAAAGAAACTCAGGGACAGAATTTAAAGAAACTATACGCAGTTTGTATGCAAAGTAGAAAGTCAAGATGGAATGGTAACGTGAGTCCTGAGGGAAGTTTTGGAGTTCATAAACAAAATAAAAGTTGTTTATTGTCTCTCTGTGTTTACAGGTGAGCCTCCCTTGTCAAGTAGCCCAGTGGTCCTGAATGTCAATGTTCTTGGCTTGCAATTTTAATACATCAGTTTTGTGAAAACTGCATTTAATTTCATGTATGTATTTGGCTTTCAGAATATTGATTTTGAACAGATCCCCTGCTACCTATGAAACATAATGAAAGCTCAGACAGCACACACTTAGAACCTCTTTACACCTGGAAGTAACATCAACCTCTGGTGATCTGAACACTAGTGGCCAGAAGATCCAATCGATGTTTACACTTGGTAGTAACATCTCAAATTTAATTTTGGGGAGGGTCTCTAATAATCTGTTTACATTTTACTTACAATGTCACATAGAATGTTATTGCATTATTTTTTATTATTTTGAGGACGTTTAAAGCTGATTGTTCACATATTTATGTGCTTATATAGTGGATATAAAAAAGAATCACCCCCCTTTAAAATAATCACATTTTGTTGCTTTTCAGCCTGAAATGAAGATGGGCACAGTTTTTGTTTTATCCAGCTGGATTTACTCAGTGCAACTTATAACATCCAAGTGAAAGATATAACACCAACATGTCAGAAAAAAAAAAAAAAGCCAGAATCACTGAGGCCCCATCCACACGGAGACGCGTTTAGCTGTATACATATACATTTTGTATCGTATAGGCATTTCGTCCACACGGACCTGGCGTTTTGGGAGAGTGAAACCGATATTTTTTGAAACCGGGTCCCAGAGTGGATAAATCTGAAAACGCCGCCCTTGTGTTTTGCTAAAACACACCTTGAAGATTCTGAGGCAGATGAGACTAAAATTTAATTATTTAGCCTCAACACCAAATGATATGTCTGGAGGAAATCAATACAGCTCACCATCCAAATAACAGCATTCCTACAGTAAGGCAAGGAGGTGCTAATATCCTGTTCTTGTTTCTCTGCAGTATGGACTGGAGCACTTGTCAGGATAGAAGGAAAAATGGATGGGGCAAAATACCGTCAAATTCTTGAGGAAAATCTGCTGCCCCCTGCCAGGAAGTTGTCAATGGCAATATTGCAAAGTCTAGATCTGCAAAGTTAGTAGAGACAAATCCCAACAGACTAAAGGCTGTAATTAAAGCAAAAGGTGCTTTAAAAAAATACTGACACAAGGGGGTGATCCTTTTTCCAACTCCGCGAGTGTGTTTACATGCACGTTCTTAAGCTGATTATGCTTAATAAGCCGACAATGCCCATGGTCATGTAAACACAGTAACCCGTTTACTTGCGTTGTCAGGTTACTGATGGGCATGTAAATGGGGAAAACTGGTTGTTTTATTAAGCTGATATTTGTGAATTATGCTCTTACTGGCGTGCATGTAAACATGCTCAGTGATTCGTTTTTTTATTTTTA